CCTCAGCTGCCCTGAAATAATCACGAGAATCAGAGAAAAGAACTTGAATCTTTTGCTGTTGTCTAAGTTTAAAAACAGTTTGACATCAGAAAGTACAAGACACCGACAGTCTACRTGTTTACAACGTTTGCCCTTTATGATCGCTATGAATACTCTGTGTTTTTCTACATCAACCAGCCTCCTCCCTGCGCTGAAGTCAAGTCTCACACACAAATATAAAACTGTGTTCTGTGGTTACAGCGTCTCACTGACAAAATCCAGCCTGTTTCACAGACTCTGAACAAAGTCCGGCTTCAGTTAACACGTGACATCGTTCATTAAGGAAACTTTGCTTTTATAAAATATTAACGTTGAAACAAATCTCTCTACAAGTCCAGCAGAAACACTGAAATACTTCCAAGGGGCCTTTGCATAGTTTATCCTCAATGCAGAAGCTGAAATTTTCAATTTAGGCCTGAAACTTACCCCCATCCAGGAGGTTTTGTTTTCACCCTGATCGATTGTTTGGAACCAAGATTACGCAAAAACTAGAAAAAGGAATTACGACGAAACTCGGTGGGAGGATGTGGAATGAGTCAGAGAAGAACTCCGTTAAATGTTGGTGCGGATCTGGATCAGGGGGCAGATCACAATGAGACAAAGCCTTTGTCAATATTTCCCATGATTTCTCAGAATATTTCACGGCTCTGGATGAAAACCACCAGATGTTTAGAGGACTGACATTTATGAGTCTGTGATTTGCTGCAGAACCCAAACAAATCAGGATCTAGTGGATTTAAATGTGGTTTCTTAAGGGAACTGTTGAGGCCTTGGTGGAAACAAGTTTGACATTTTTAAAAGAAAATCTAACAAGGCATCATCCTTCACAGTATTCTGACTCTTTATCAAACCATTTAATATCCTGGTGAGTTAAAAGTTTAACGATAAAGACGTCGGTGCACAGCGCTCCTCCACCTCTGTGTTCACTCACTCTCTGTTCCTCCATCCATTGAATAAACATGCATAAAAAACTGTTTAGATTCAAAATGTCATTCGTTTCATAAAAACTGGCAAAAAGTGTTTATTTCTTATGGTCAATATTCTCTAGAAACGTCATCAACCTGATGCACACATTTACATCTTCAGCTAAAAAAAAAAGTCCTTTCCTGACGTCACGACCTTCAATGAAAAGATTTCTTCACCTCCTCTTTGCTGCAACGTTTTCAGGAGCTGCAACTTTGAAACCTGCCGTCGTCTGAGTGTGAGTCTTCTGAGCGAGTGCACGTCATGAATCATCGTCGAGCAGCTACTAAACGACTCTGGAAGCCATTTAACTTGCATATTTCACCTTCAGTCTAAAGGATTAGATATAAATTATTATTCATATACTTTTATATACTGTTTTACATGTATCTACACACTTTGATGCGTCATTTGGAAAATATAAAAACCTCTCAGCTCCGACAGGACGTCGTCATCACCATCGTTAATATACTGTATCAGGAAACTAGCCTCAACATGGCGTTGGGCTTGTTGTACTTGTTCAGGTGGGAGAACTAAGTGTTAAACTCGTGTTCCGTCATTATTACGACTTCTTCATGTTTTCCACCCGACCCTCTGGTCTGATCTTTGCTTTTATAAAAATACGCAGAGGCTATAATTCTTATATGTTTTGATGCTCTGTTGTTAAAGTGCGTCTCGTCTTAGCGTCACCAGAGCAACGACTTTCAACCTGATAAAATCCCTTTGAAACGTTTCACGTAAAAAACCTGAACGACGCCGTTGTGGTGCCACAGATTTTAGAGAGATGGATAGATGACGTCATCGCGAAAAGTCTGACTGAGAGTATTTGTGAATTTATCCGAGCAGATCAAGCTTGATGACACGAGGATGGGCGTGTGGTTGAAGGACTCTCAGACTTTCTGAGGAGCCGATGAATCTTAGACCTTCAGTGTTTGTTCTGGTTTCTGGAGACGGTGTGGACAGGTTGTCTCATGTCTCAGTTTGAGTTTGGCTCTCACGTCTTTCTCCTTCTTTTCTTTCTCTCTGAAAATAGTTTCTATTCCGTTTGTTCTGCAAGTTTCCTCAAATCTTCGGTCGACGTCTCACTCCTCGCTGATGCCGTGCTCCCACGCCACTTTAGCTTGCTCGTCCTTGGTTGCAGCGATGATGGGCTGGGAGATCTTGCGTGGCATGGGCCGTGGTGCAGGAGGCGGGGCAGACTGGGCGTCTTCTTCCGGGATGCACCCCTCTCTGAGGTAGGGCTTGGGCGGCAGGGCCGGAGGAGGCTCGTGGAGCTGGTAGAGAGGCGGGTGGTGGGGGATGTAGTGTGGGTGGAAGTGGTGGTAGTAGTGGTGTTGGGGGTGCGGCAGCCCGTCCTGCTGCGGTGGTTGTGGAGCGCCAGTGGAGGTGGAACCCTGGGCCGGGGTGACGCCTCCTGGGGCGGATTGGCTGCGGCAGGGCGGGAGTTTCACTCCCTCCAGGACCTCGGGCTCGGAGACGCTGTACCTGACGGGCTGGTACGGCGAGTCGAGGTCTTCCTGGTCGGTGGTCCAAGCCTGGCTGCTGGGGGCGGACTCCAGGGTGTCTGTGCGGCTGGCCGGGGCGTCGGAGGAGGAGGCGGGGCCACCGAAGTTACTCTCACTGAGGGAGGAGACTCCAGAACTGGCGCTGCCTGATAGGGTGGAGTTACTGCCATCCAGGATGGACTGTGGACTGGTGGGCGAGGCAGGTATAGGGTGCAGGGGAGACTGGAGAGAGAGAGACACAGTCAGGGATGGTCGGTGCATGATGGAAGTACACAGTCACCTCCAGGTGCTAAAAACAGCTCGACTTCAAGAAACTCCATCAAGTCCACTCGACCTGTTCTTAGCACTGGGATGTTCCGGGACCTGATGACTGAGATTCTCCACAGACACACACAGTCACTTTAAATCAAATAACAGAATAACATGTGGACAGATTTCACACCGACTCATAGTGTAGATGAAGTTTTTTCTAAATAACAAACTTTAAATTTGGTCTGAATCTGAACTCAAACACAGAACACAGTGCTGAATCTGTCTCGGCTCACACAGAGATCTCAACGTTGAGTTAGTCACAGAAATAAATAAACTGTTCAACACATTAGAATAAACCTTGTTTCTGTAGCGAAGAAGAACAAGAAGTGAACGAGTCAAATATTTTTTGTTGTGTTTAAGGATTAAAATTAAAGTTAATGATGAGGACACGAAAGTTCAAAACTAAACACAAGTGGAAAAAGGACATAAAGAAAAGGAGTGAAGGGAGATTTCTTTCACCGATGACCTCTGATGACCTCTGATGACCTCTGCCAAGGACGTTCCTCTGCGTTTGTTTTTCAGGATTAAAGTCTACAAGACAGATTCCCATGAAACTGGGTGGAAGGATGAGATTTCATTTTTGTCACTTTAGCTGCATATCAGATTTTCTTTCACTTTTGTAAACATTGTGAGACGTGAGGACATGATTCAACATTTTCTCTTGAATAGTTCGTGGCTCAGGATGAAAGCTTATGTTTAGAGAACTCTAATCTGTGAGTGTGTGAGATCAGACTGTTGGGCCTTGGCAGAGGTAAGAGCTCTTCTGTTTATTTATCTGAACCCTGGCACTTCCTGCTTCTGCTTTTCTGACACACAGGAACAAGACGACACATTATCTCTCAACTCTGCATCTGAGATCAGGGAATGAATGTTGCTCAGTCTTTCACAGGACGGTTTGATTTTCAATCAAACGTCTTTGTGCAGCAGCAGAAGGAAACGACGACCGGGCTCCTTGTACGGAGAAGTTTCCCAATCCTGGCACAAAAGTGGACACAAAGAAACACACACACACGTGGAAATGCACTTTTGTCTGGGAGTGCAGACGGACACATGGACAGACAGACAAGCATCCAGACCGACAGCAGGAGTGAGGAAGAGGAGGAGGAGGAGGGTACCTTTCTTAAGGAGCGCGCGGGGAGAGCTGGAGGGAGGTCGCTGACCTGGTGGTGGAAAGCGTCAAAGTGCATCGACAGGTGTTGCCCTACAGGGGGGGACACAGCAGGACTGACTGAGAGAGAGGCACACTCACACACCTCAGACCAGAGAGGAAGAGGAGGAGGATGGAGAAGGGTGGGAGGAGAAAGAGAGAGAGAGAGAGAG